TCATGGTAGGTGTCTAAAAAAATTATATATTTGAATTTTTGTACCTTTACTTTTTACTTGTTAATTCATTTTATTTCAGTAATCCACAATCGGCCATAGCAGAATTACAATGGGATGAATTGTTCAAGTTGCATATAGGCTTTAATTTAAAATAATTCCGGTATAAGTGAATCTCTATTATTATATAACGATTTGTGTAAGAAGGTTGTTTGTATTAACAACATAAAACAGTGCTTAGAGAATAACTCGAAGCCCAAATGTCATACTTGGTATTAACTACAACGATAAAGGATTGTATTTCACGATTTTCTTGGCTGGGGTCAAACAACAACTTCTATTGCGAAAATGTTATGTTATCTAATATTTTGCGATACACCGATTGTGGAAGTTTTGTAGTTTTACTGCATTTTGCATCTGGTAAAGCTGACTTGTTTTTGTTCGAATGTAAAACTAAAACTATAAGGCAAAAGTTACATATTGTTGATACAGAATGTATCAAACATACCAAAATAGTATGAGAGGTTATAATACCAATCTGTATCTTCGTAAAAACACATGATGGTTTTTTTGTTATTGAATGGTCAATGTTATAAATTTGTCGTGAACGATTCAGTAGTTTCCTTATGCGATCATGATGTATTTGAAAATATTGTCGATATCTTTTTTGGAGACAATGACGAATACTTTCTGCTGAACGAACAAAGCCACATATTTTACCATAGTCATAATAAACTCACGAAAATTATATCAGCAATTACATGGAATTCGTACTGTTTGGTTAACGATAACAGTTTTTTAGTCTCCGATTACAAAGCTTTTTATTTATGCAAAATTGATAAAGACTTCAAACTGATATACTTTCAACTGTCTTTGCAATTTGTGACGAGCATAGTATTTTACAAACAATTTGGAATTGCTATATGCATTACAGCACAAAATAAATTGTACCGGATCAAAACTGATATATTAGAAACAGATGATAATACCAAGAATGCTATTGATTTAGATATCGATAATATCGACTCAGCTGTCCACATTTTAAAAGAAATACAAAATTATTCGACACAATTGGATGCAGTGTCTAAAGATATAGAGAAACAGAATACTTTGATAAAGAATTAGGAGTGGTTTTGAGATCAAATTTATTAACAGAATATTTCAAACATGATGTTAAAATTGAACAACTAAATCAATTCCAGGAAAACAAATATTATTTAGAACAAACCTTAAAAATACAATCAGACATTTGTCCGTTGTTGTCTACTGAACAATGGTATTACAAAACACAGTATTTAGACAAAAACTTCGACTTGGTACATAATTTGTACAGAATTCCTACAAACAAAAGTACTATAATAGTTTCTTCTGAATGTGATGTAAATTGCAAAAGCTATGAACTAAAATCCAGCATCCAAACAATACTTGTGGACGAACGGCATAAGATAGGTGCCAAAGTCAATTTAACCAAAGATTTTGTGAACACAAGAAAATTTGTTAAAAATAGAAAAATAGATGACGATACATCTTCTCACGACTTATATAACTCTATTGACCAAATGATCATATATTCTCAATTGCCTACAATCAATACTGCTGTCAACAAGTAAAAAAACACGCCTCAAATGTATTGTCTTATTACTAATACGTCCGATTTGCTAACAAATTATTTCCTGATTCAATTCAACATTTTTCGGATGAATTCAAACTTAGAGTTAATGGAGACATCGTCAAATTCGAAATTAATAGAGATACACACTATATAGAAATGTCTTGCTTGAAAATGTCTACACTGAATCGACTAAGAAAATATCTGGTTATAAAGTCACAGCCTGAAGGTGGGTGTACTTTTTTACAATCCACAAGAGAAATTAAGACTTGAGGTAAGACATTGTGTGTTTAACAAATATAAACCAATAATTTTATTTTGCATACAAACATATTAACATGATTATTTAGGAGATTAGTTACCATTGTTGCTAATACATTTTTTATCTATTTTAGAATGCCATACGTTTGCTGAAAATGGAACTCCTGAATTCTGAATTCAACTTGGAAGTCTTGAATGAAAAAAAGAAAAAACACGAGAGAAGATATCGTCGCAGTTTATTAATTTATCATGAAATTCATATAATACTATACAATAGTTTATAAATGATCCTTATATTGTATATGTGATATGAAAAAAGTATATTTTATTATGAATAAAAGTACTTTTATAACCGTGTGTTTGAAATAATTTGTTCCAAGTTTTTAACTCTTCATTTGACATAGTTGTTTTCAACCATGTGTAGACGTTCTTCAAGTTTTAGCAAGTATGATGATCTGGTTTTAAAACTATTAGAAGAATTATATATGTTTTCATTTGAGGCAAAACATGTTTACAATGATGTCTTTTAAATGAAAATAATTAAGAATGTGTTTTTTTATTTACATTTAAGAATTACAATCAGTTGTTCTTATACAACATTCAGTAATTTTGTGGATTTATTAAATAAAGGAAAAAAGGTCGAAAGAGTGACCCATTGGTGATCGATTCGATGTTGGATAAGTTTATATATTTGTATAGATGTAGTCCTGTTGTGAAAATATTTAATTAAGCCTACGAGTATTTCTACATTTTATAGGATTACTAAAGAATATCTTCTGAGCCGTTCAATGCCATGGTTTTTTATTAAGATTTTGGCCATGTGTTAAGGTGGTTCTGAATTCTTCCTTTTATCTCAGACTGAACTTTTCGATTTGTTCCTTAACAGTGTTAATGTTTAAATCTGTATGAACCAACTAATTTGGGACATACTTGGGTGCGTTTATAATTTTTTTCAAAATCTTGTTTTGACATTTTTGTATTATGGCGATGTTGGATTTGCGTGCCGTTTCCCAGAGCTGTATTCCGTACGTCCAAATTGGTTTCAACATGACTTTGCACAAAAGAAGTTTGTTTCATGTGCTCAACTGAGATTTTCGGTTTAACAACTATTACAGTTTTCTTCTCGTGATTTTCATCTGTTGGCGTTTCTTTTGAATATGGTATTTCCATGTTAGTTTGGCATAATTAAGAATGTATGAAACTAATTTTATCAGCATCAACCTTGTAGGTTTGTTGATGCTTTTAGATAAGTGTTGGGTTTTCTAAATTGTGAGTTCGGAATATTGCTACCATCTCAAATCAATTTCTTCATTGATTTCTATATCCTCATTTTATGAATTGTTTTTCTAGAAATCTAGAAATTGCATAAGGCGTTCCACTCAATAAGTTATGAGCTTTTAACATCCATTCCTTATTCAATTAGATATAAGTGCATCAAAATATTCAAATCTATGCCAAATATCAATAAGTACACAAGTTGACGATAGCAAATCTATTTATACATGTCAAGCATTTGTACATCTCACTCTGCCAGATATTTTTGCTATGCTTTTGGCAAAGTACCAATTAGAATTGAAAATAAAAACATCTGTACTTGCGAACGAATCCTCTCTTATTTGACCAACAATAAGGCGACGGATGCATGCTAGGATTTATTTTCAAACTTTTCTACCTTGAGGTGTCACAAATGTTGAAAGAAGACGTAGATTTTCATGGAAACGAGATATAAATGATTTATAGAGAAAACTGAAATAACGCTCCATTTATAATAAAAAAATAAACTAAAAATGGTATTTTGAACAGCATATGTTAGAATATTCTACGAAATGAAGATCTTAAGCAAGAAATCTAATTTCACTAACCATGTTTTCTAAATATCAGTGCTAAATAATTTAACACAATAATAGTTATAATAAAATGATTTACTATTCCAAGTACATTGTATAAATTGTATTTTTTGTTTTGAAAATAAGGTGACTCCTTATTTTAGGAGCTGAAGCTATAACATTAGATGTCTTCAACTTAAACCCATTCAAATACGATTATTTTTCAGGGGTTTGAGCATGACTATCTTATCAATACATGATGTGCCAAATATTAAATTATTAATTAAGAATTAAATATTTTTATTATATTTTTTTAATATTTTCAGCCGTAGTTTGTCTGGTGACGAAGGCTTGCTTTGCGACACCATCTCGAGCAAAACTCTGTTTTATCTCATCTCGACTTTGAATGCTGCTTTTGCTCCTGACTATGATTTCTCTGATGCCAAGGTATAGATATAATTTATAAACCATAATAAAACATAATAATTAAAATTATAAATATTTCTAAGTGATTTAATTTGGAACTCCTATTTAGACTCCGACTATTCTTTAGTAGCCTTAATGCAACATTGAAAAGATAATGACTAATTTTTAGTCAAATAGTTTAGCTGAGATAATAATCCTATAATTGATTTATGAGAATCTATATATCTTTTTTTAATTCTTTTTTTATTTCTTGACCTTTACACAATGCCATCATTCAAATCTTTCATCTGGAATATCGCGAATTATTTTTATGTTGTATTTATTAGAATACGCTCGCGGGTTAATAAAACATGTTTTATGATGCCAAATGCAAAGTATTTCTCGACTTTTAAACGTTTGCCAATTTATTTTTAGTGGATTTGATATATATGTATTTTTTTAAAACTACGATTTTGTAATCAATGTATTTTTCCGAAACAACTATGACGTCGTTGTGTTGATAAACGGAAAAATCTATATTTGAAAAATAGTTAGTTTTAAGAGAAGACGATGGTTTAAATCTTTGTTATGCAAGTATTTTATCAATTTTATCAAGATGATCTAATATAATATATTACAGATATAATTTATGTTATATAATAATAATATGACATATATGCAATTCGATATTGTAACAAATGCTGTAATTTAAATACAATTGTTATTGAAACATATATTACTGAAACATCAGTCTTTAAAATATATTAAACACATTTGTAAGATTTTAATTAATATTTTTAAAGGCAAATAGTCGTACAAACATTTTCAAGCGTTTTTTTATTATTATAAATTGTATATAAGTAATATCGATTACAATTGTCGTTGCTATATTTATTTTCTTTATATATTTTTTGACATATAATAATTAAAATTTATTTTAGTATTTATATCCCGCAATATCAACTGCGTATTTTCCTTTAACCTTGATATATGGTTTCTATTCCACCCTCTGACCTTCGCTCGACCTTGCCCAATCGGCTTAAAATCACGCAGTAGATTCAGAGAGACTTGTAATATATTTCAAATATTTTAAATATGTTTATGATTATAAAATGTTTTTGTATTAGCACATGCTTGTTCATAAAATATATTTTATATTTGAACAACAATCTGAACTAATTGTAAGTCCTGTGGTGCAATCACTACCTAATTAGCTAGGGAAAGGCGGCAACTCAATGATTGTTTTATTTTTTATTTTTTATTATTTTTTATACTAGAAGGCAATTCAGTTATATCCTTTTTCTCATTGCACTAACTTCAGATCGGGCTTTTTTGGAAACATATTTTGATCTATATTTTCAAGTAAAAATAGATATTAGTACTGCTTGATATTAGGCTCCGAAAAGCGAATTTTAACTCGGCAATTTGTATTTACAAAGCTAGGATTTTACCATAGCGCTACAGAAACTTCTCTTATAACATGTCTCCATAATACCAAATACTACTTCATTATATTAAATTATTTTAAAACTTCTAATGTATTTAATATATACGAGGTGAGGTCTGTTCAAAAAGTTTTCGTAATTTTCGTTTTTTCAAAAAAATATTTATTTATTCGTCTACATTAATGTGGTCCCCTTCAAAGTAGTCCCCCCCAGATATAATACACTTATGCCAGCGTTTTTTCCAATTTTCGAAGCACCCTTGATATTCACTTTTTGATATGTCCTTGAGCACTCTCGGCGATTTTCTTCAATCGAGGAAAACCGCCGTCCTTTCATGGGTCTCTTCAACTTTGGGAATAGGAAAAAGTCACACGGAGCCATATCTGGTGAATTTTTGCACTTTGCAACACTTTATTTCATTTTTTACGCAAAATTTAATACAAATTCTTTGACTTTTTCAATTCTTCCATTGTAAAAATCGCCGAGCTCAGAAAAACACGTCGAACCTTAGCGACTACCACAGACAAAGTAAACAGTGAATATAGCTGAAAATTTCATCATACTTTAGGGGCATGTATACCAACACAATAAAAAAAAATTTTGACAATCAGACACTCCAGACCCGCGAAATTTAATTATTAGTAATTCCGGGTACTTTTTGAACAGACCATGTATATATATATATATATATATATATATATATATATGTAGTGTATATTTTAATAGCCCTGAATGTGTAATATTTTCACATATCTATCGCAAAAGTTTTGGATATTCATACAATTTTATCTTTTTTTGGAATTTTACCTATGTAGATATGTAGGTATGTTTGCACAAGTAATATATCCAAAAGATAAGATAAAACTGAATAAATATTAAATAATTTTATTTTTTTTATTTTATTTTATTTTTAACTTATTTTATGTAAGGTGTAGTAAAAAAGTCCATTATATAAGTTTTGTAGTTAAAAGAAATCAAAAAAATCTGTTCACACACACACATACTTTTTCCAAATTTGGTCTCATTCGATTCAGAATGGCTTGAAACGTCCAGAAAACATAAAATAAGCAAATCGGATTTTTTGATAAAAATAAACTTCTCCTTCGGGAAGTTAAAAATAAAAATATATAAAATATTATATAATATATAGTTAAAATCTGCATTATTTAAGGTGTAGTAAAACGAATTCCATTTTTAGGATGTAATAAAAAAATCCATCATGTTATTTGTGATTTTCTACATTTTCACAACTAACAAAAAAATAATATTTTTTTCTATAACAATCTGTATTTGAAATTAAACTAAATAGAAATTAATGGTTTATATAACGTTTCTTATCGGTATATTATTCTCTTTTTATTGGCATTTTAACTCTATTATTTTATTACAAAGAATATTCGTCTTGTTTCTTAAATTTATTATTTTGAAACTATTAAGCCAATAAACAATTGGATTAAATGATAAACGATAAAATATTCCAAAGAAATGATGAACTCATACCACAAATATTTTTTATTATTTTGCGAGATAGAAATGCAGATATCGCTCTCGATAATCTCTAAATTTTTTAAAAATAGTCTGGCATGTGTTATTGTAATCTATATGAATATGGAAGAGAAAACATCATTACTCATTAGAATGATTCATATATAAAGTCAACTTATGGTTCTGTTTAGTATGCAGATTTATGATTAATTTATTATGTTTACTGTGATTTTGTTTCTTTGCAATATTTGCAAGATACTGCTTTTAACTGAATACAAATGAAAGTTGACCTACAATCGGAAATGATATTGATGATGTTGAATTAATTAATGCAATGCTAAGTAAATAAATTAATTATATTACGTCAATAAAATTAAATATGAAGCAATTTGCCATTTTCAACAATTATTATTAAATCTATTTATGCTGTTCATAATTATCTGTTTAAACTTTCTTTAAAAATATGAATGTCTGTTATAGATATTTGTATTGTAATATTTAAATGTATTGTATTGAATTAAGAAATAAATATATTTACTTTTTTGTAATACTAACAAGCGTAATAAAATATCAAACATTTTTTAAAAATATATTTGCTAAAATACGTTTATGTATGATTATTTTTATATACTAATAATTAAGTTACAATTATTCATTTTAATTTAATTGTTCGATATTTCGGTACTTGTCTTCTACATTTCCATCATACTTTCTAATTCATAAATTTCACACTAAATTATATGTGCTAATATATGAAGAATAGAAATAAAAAATATACGTCGATTTCTTAAAAATATTTCAGATTTCTACAGACCACTTTTACTTAATGTTTGTAAATATAGAATTTAATGTCGATGTTGCAAAATGTAATCTCGAAAATTGTCAGCATTATTATAATCTATGTGAGGCGAGGTCAATCACATCGAATGAATGATATACGTGATTGTTTAAACAATTTATTTACATATGAAAATGGTTTCAGAAAGCAAATAATGTGTTACACTGGATAATATAGTTTCAATCATTTGATTTTAATTTATTCAGGTTTTAATAATTTTCTCATACTTTTTTATAATAACTATCTTATTTACTGAAACCTTATTTATAAAAAATTAAGGAGAAAGAAATTATTATTCTACACATATCTTTATTGATATATTTTAAGGAAAATATTTGGAGTTTGGCATTTAATAATATGTATATGTATATTAGGGTGGTCCTTAAAATGGTCATTTTCGAATTTCCTTGCTCCTAAGGGCTCAAATGGTTCCAAATTGATAAAAAACAATTCTCTGAAAGTTTTAGCTCTTAATATTAATGTTTAGATAGAGCGCAATTCAATCAAAATTTTGAATGAATAAAACTCATTCATTTGTCGCTAAGTTATACCTAAAACATTTTTTTTTAATTTTCAAAATTTTTTCCATGCTCTTTCCATACGAAGTTTGATTGCATTGCGCTCTATCTAAACGTTAATATTAAAAGCTAAAACTTTCAGAGAATTGTTTTTTTTACAATTTGGAACCATTTGAGCCCTTGGAAGCAAGGAAATTCGAAAATGACCATTTTAAGGACCACCCTAATGTATATAGCATTTGTTATAAACTTTACTAAATCTCTAGGTTCAAAATTTTTATTTATTTATGCTTGCAAAATTACCTCCATATAAATAATATAGATTAACCATTTTAATTAATTTTATTCTCGAAAGAGGAAAGAAATTAATATTTTAGGCATATCCTTATAATATTTAGAGGAAAATATATGTACATGGTTTGGTATTTAATAACATATAAAACATTATAATGTTTTATTTTGCAAGTATAAATCAATGAAAATTTTAAACCTAGAGATTAAGAAAACTTTATAATTATAATTATAAAGTTTTCTTAATCTCTAGGTTCAAAATTTTCATTGATTTGTACTTGCAAAATAATCATACTTAATAAAAAAAAATGTTTGAAAATAAATCAGTACTGATTTTTAATCTGGCTACAACTTATTAGACACGATTTTTCAAGAAAATATTGATTAAAATCCAATTTAGTTAGTAGGCTCTGCAATACCATTAATTGCATACAGTTCAAAAACTTTGGTGGCAAAGAATTAGTAGTCCATCGTCAGAGGAGTTAGAAACGGAAGTTCCGAATTAGAATCATGGTGCAATCGAAACATGATGTTTCTGATTAAAAATCCTATAATTGTCAATCCTATTTTTATTATTTTTCCCAGAGCTACGAGTTCAGCAAAGAGCCATCCCTGCAGTGGGTAATGAACAGCATTGACACCAATTTGGCGGCCGTGGCGGGCGAGGCCTACCACACTCTGCGCAGCCACTTGTGGGCAGCCGTCGAAGATGAGATTAGCCTGGCCGATTGCGACATCTACAGCTACAATCCGGATTTAGCTTCCGATCCCTATGGGGAACCGGGATGCATCTGGTCATTCAATTATTTCTTATATAACAAAAAGCTTAAGAGGATCGTGTTCTTCACTTGCCGAGCCATCAAGTATGTAGTAATAGATGTAATTGAATTTTTTGAGTTTGTGAGTATCGTTCGGGACTATGAATTATAAAAGCAAAATAGACGTCCATTCTAACCAATTAGTATGTTGTGTTTACCTGTAAGGCCAGCCGGCCAGACTTGAAAGAAAAATACCTGGAGACCTAACATGGTTTAATTAACTATAATACTTTTATTTTACTATATTTTATTGTTTTTTCTCCCTTAGTAGATACGCCACTGGGGGTATCTACTAATTTATAATTAACTATTTTACCATACACTTGTCAGCATTCTCTGCTTAATGTAATAATAAATACAGTTTGCAGAATAAAATTGAATATAATGAATCGGAACTATGAAGATGTAATTTGTTATAACCTAATGCTATTAGGAAGTAATCCATTGGTTATCTATTATATAACTATTATTGCATATGAGATGAGATTATTATTATTATATTATATTATATACCTATATATTATATTTTTAAAAGTGATATTATGTGATATGTAGGTATGCCTCGTAAGGCTATTTTTGCTTGAAATCATATTTAGATTGATATTTTCAGGTGAAATTTTTTATCAGTAACTGTAGCTGCTTGATATTTGGTTGTCCTACCTCTTGTGCTAAAAAGAAGTCCTATGCAACAGATGCATTAAAATATTTGTTGTTCTTTTTTTGTTTGGCAAATCATGATTTTTTCTGAATGAATTTGTTGATAAGATAGTGCATAGAAAATCAGGAAGTGTTCTTTAATGAATACATATTTGCTAAAACAGCAGATTGGTTTTATATTTATAATATTAGTATTATAAAGTTAGACCCATGCCGACCTGATTCCAATTATCTAATCGTGCCATTCAATCCCACAAATTTTTATAATATTAAATAGATTCAAGATTTGATATAATTTTGATATAAAACCTCTTTACTTTTTAATCTTTCACATGATGTAGTAAATGAGAATTGGTGTATTATCTAATTTTAAGACATTTAAATTATATAAGATCTTTTTTTTTGTTTCAGTCCGATTTATTCAATCGATTCTGGTTGCGGAAGCGACTTTGCGATGGACGAAGACGATGACGATGAAAGTTACTAAATAACTACAAATAAATATGAAGAAAATTAGGGAAAACTTGATCTCTATTCATATTATTTAAACGTCCTCAAAATTTTAGTTATCATCATACCTTCGATTACTTTTAACCCAAGAAAAAATATTTTAAACTTTTTATTTATTGTTGAGAACAAAAGTATCACTGTTTTATTTAATTATGTCAAGTATTTAAGTTTTTAATAATGAATTTTCATCAAGTTTTTCCTTCTATTCTGTCATATAACTGTAATTGTAATGTTTGTCCAGTAATATTTATTAAATTTTATAAATTATTATATTTCATTCATCACGCTACTGATATCAGATTGCATTTTCTCTTGCATCTCGCTAGCTTCTGAGTGTGATGAATCAATTATTTAGAATCAATAAATTAATAATATTATAATGAATTTGCACTTTAGATCAATTTATAGAAAATTGTATTATATTAGACCAAAATTATCCACTCTATTGCCATGGATTTCTCAAATGTACATATTAATAGACAAACATTATCTATTACAGTAGGTTTTGTCAAACCGAAACATATTTTTTTAATCAGTAGATATTCAGATTATCTTAGGATAAAGTTGTTGTTTTCACTTTTGTGTTAATTAAGTAAATAGTTTGTGGTTGAGTATAATTCATTTCAATAATGGTAGGTGAGAGCTACATGTGAGACTTTATTGATTGAATGATACGCGGTGCTGGTAATACATCAACTGCCATTTAATTTAAATCATCCCATAAAAGTTTAGTATATTTTACTTTTAAGTCTAAAGGAAACTGTTTTTTACTATTGAAGTAAAGCTCGTTTTGATTGTATTCATTTAATTTTGCAATATTGATTGCAACTTATATTTAAGTTTAACTACAAATATTAAAGAAAATATTTGTTGTTTTTGAGCTAAAACTGCAATAAGGCAGTATTTTGCATATTAGAGCTATATTGCAGTTTCTACTTAGACTTAAAATAGAATATACACAGTTGATGTTTACCCCTGAGAATACTTTGAAGTGTCTAGTGATTATTTTAATGTGTCTACCAACGATTTTTTAATAGATTTTAGTCTTTAATAGACTTCTGTTATTTATTTTTTAGTGTTTGTTCAAATTTTACTTTTGTGTTACTGTTATTTCAGTGTAACGAGTTTATTTAAGAAAATCATTAATAACTACATTATGTGTTCAGAGTCATTAATTATTTTAAACATACATCGAAGCCTGGAAATGTTTTGTCTATTCAATGTCTTAATATCATTAGAAATATTAATCTTATCAAACACATTTCAAAGTATTGTCAGCTCTATTATATAATGAGGCATATATTCCAACTTATATTTGCAAGTGAGAGTTGCGGTGAGAGATTTATAAGTTCAAATATATGTGCATTGAACATTTGTGCAACATATCACATACAATTTTGTTCACAAATTGTTCTTTATACCTTCTAAGATTATTTTAAGCCTAGAATTAGTTGATAATAAAATTATTGTGGCAGATATAAATTGAATATGAATTAACTACAATGTTTCTAAAAAAATGTAGCAAAACTCAAATTTGAGGGGTTTTTAATATGATAGCAGTTTGTGCTTAGCTTAATTGTAAAGAGTAGATTATCATCATTCAATTGATGAAAGAAGTATTAATTAAAAATGTTTCTTCTAAAACATACTTCTACAACAATTAGCTTATATAAAACTTCTTTTCCTCTTGATTGTTAGGTGTTTTATGAAATTGATTGAGGATTGTTTTTTGTGTCTTAAATATCTATGGAATTATAATTATATTAATCACATTATTGCATGAATTATTTTAATTTCAATTTCATTAATTCTGCATTACTGAAGAATTTTTAGATGTAGCAAAAGTAATATTAATATTTTGCAAAAATATTCTTTGATGTATAAGATACGTATGTGATTATTTAAATGTACTACAACTAATAGGTTCGGAGACCTATGTACTTATTTTATCATTTTTGTTGCAATATTTTAAGCAACTCTTTATTGTGACTTGGTATATTTCATTTTAAGTAACACTGATGGATGTATCATTATAATAGATACTTTTCACTGAAAATATTAATGTCGATTTATTTTAAGGTCATACGATTCATTTATTATATGCTTTGGTTTAGGTGCGCGTAGATATTAATTTTCATAATAAATATCGTACATTACTTGAAGACATTTAGGTATTTTATATTATTTTAATCATAACGTTAGTATATAAGTTTTTCATTTAAAATATAAAATTCATTTATAACATTTAAAGATCTCAAATATATTATATATGAAATTTGAAAATAATACGATTTGTCTTCACATAACATATTAATTTTTAAGGGTTTCATGTTATCACTTGGTTTAATTTAGGTTTGTAGGCTTAAATATATAACAATGTAAAACTTGTCTTAAATATAAATGTCAAATGTAGAATGACTTCTTATTTTAAGATTAAAATTGAATTGAATCAAATAAAACGCCGAAGGTACGTTGTTTTTCGAATATTCCGCCTGGAAACAACATATCTTCTTTGCATGAGGTCAAACACTTCTTTTCAACTGATACTTTCATTTAAACGAATTTAAAAGTAATCACAATTTGTTTCGAAATAAAATAAATATTTTAATACAAATTAGCTATTACGAACTCTCAAAATATTTAAAAAAATGAAATTTTATCCTCCTCCAAATATTCGATACAATTGAAATTATTATTCTAATAACAAATATGCGATTGTATAAGATTTAATATGATTTAATAAGAGCATTTCAAGTTTCAGGTTCAACTTTTGCTTCAGATAGCCTGTTATCAAGCAGTAGTTTTTGATAGCAATTCAAAAATGGGAAGCTTTAAATACGGTTTTAAGAAAAAATAGCCTTTCTGGGATTAAACAATTATTTCTGCGAATACGATCTTAAGAATAAATAGCTTTTTGGAGATTATTGTAACAAATTAAAAATTAGTTCTGATCGCAATTGTAAAACAGTGTGTCCCAGAACACAAAGCGAAAGCAAAAAAGTGATAGTATTGATTGTAATTATCATTAAAAAATTTGAAAGAAAATTTATTCCATGCAGTTTGAAAATTATGAGCTTTTAAGCTAGAGCTTTGGTGAAACTGTAGCAAATTTTTTGGTTATTGAGGTTAAATTTTATTAATTTTGTTCAATTAAACTTTGGATTCGTAATCGTAAATAAATTTGTTAATTTTTAGGACTATAGTCAAAAATAATGTTACAATTGCTCCAAGTTCTTGAGAATTAAGACTTTTTGTTGAACTGTAAATTCAAAATTTTCAAATTTTATAATTTTTTCATAATCTCTCATACCAAGCACCTCTGTCTGACTGAGATATGAAAATAATGCATATATATCTGAATAATGAAACAAACAAAATTCAAATTTGGATTATTTTGAGAGGTCCTCCAAGTACTAATGGTGTTGGGAAAGTTTTATCAAAAGTTGGCGCATTTTATCAGGATTGTAAAATAGTAAAATAGTTGATAGTTTCATAATAAAAAAGTTAAGGTATAAAAATAAAGACCTAAAAATGACTTGAAACACCCAGAGAACAAAGTGAAGTTAAAAATATATATTTCGTTTTTCTCAGAATATGAATATTTGAAAAACAAGTAACATTCTCTTATAAATTTATAAATGTAATAACGTCATTATAATAAATTTAATTCATTTAATATTTTTCTTTACAAATTACTCAAGTTATAAGTTATTGTATCAGATTTACAAGTTACTGTATCAGATATCTTGAACGGTATCGGAACAACGGACGTCTTGCATTTACCTCTTTTTTATGGTATATGTCTGTCCACAAAATAACTTCAAGAGAAAGTCCTCAGCGTATTATACAGATACAAAAAACCTATTTTCTCTGACCTTGAACCGCTTCGTAAGTTTCATTTGACCGAGCATCGTCTTCGACGTCCACGATGTTAAGGATACCATCTTCAAACGGAAGATCGCAATTATAAAATATTTACATATTATATTAAAAATATATACTATATAAATATTATTTTTTATTTAAGCGTCGTATTTTTGTAGCTTAAATCCCATAGCCCTAACCATTAACACACAGTCCATCCCCCGTATAAAGGTAATATTAATTAAAATAGTGCACGTCATGATAATTTACTAATATTTGTAAATTGTGTTTTTTTATAATTCAAACATGTAGATATTTATTATTTGATATGAGTACAATAAAATGTGTATATTAACTATTTAAATGTGAAGATACATTCCCTTACAAAGCTATATATTTTTCCAAAAAAATTTAAAATGCTCTTAATGTTGATTCAGTTATATGTTAGGTCTTTGATAATTTTGTTTTGATTAAATGAAAAATTAAGATAAATTTGGTGAAAATATATTAATACCTTCAATATCAGCTACAGGTGTGCCAATACTATTTGAATGCAATCAGATTTTGATTAGATTGGCACATATAATAGCTATCAGTGGGATCCAAGGCTAAAGATTTAGATTTGTTTTAACATCCAGGGGGGTTGTACCCCTTTTATCCCATATACCATATACCACGTTCAACCAGTTAGTAATATTTTATCTAGCAAAACAACATTTGCCTTGCTTTTCACCTAAAAGTTGGATACATCCAAAAAACTCTACTAAAGCACATTGGATAACCATGGATACATAAATAATAATTAATATTTATAAAATTAAAATTAATTATAACAATGTTATATGTTTTTCATACAAATTACCGATTGTTACATTAAAAAAATACTTTTAATTTTGATAAATATGAATTTTTGTTAGATCTATGAACGATTAGAGTATTTTACTATGGTTATTTTTAAGTTTGTATTTCTCGATTGCTATCATAATTCGCTGCGGCATTTCTTTTAATTATGCACAAATGTCACATAAATATGCAAATCTTTTCAAACATGATATCGTTTGAATCAAATTTAGAGAGTGAGACCTGCATAAATTTAGAATTTGGTGTCACTGCGTTATCGTTATCGCAAAATGCTCGTTGTGCAAAGATCTCTAATGAAGTTCTACATTAAACATACTAAAGTAGTAATTGAAAACTCTAATATATGATAGTAATAATA